TTCTCATTGAGGGTCCTCCAAATGCGGGTAAAACTGCTTTGGCAGCTAAACTGGCACAAATGTCAGATTTCCCATTTGTCAAAGTTTGCTCACCGGAGGATATGGTGGGCTACACCGAATCGGCCAAATGTCTACATATTCGTAAGGTATGGAAAATATGACAAGTTCATAAAAATTTACTTTTAATTTGATTCTTTTTGCTTTAGATCTTCGATGATGCCTATCGTTCAATGTTGAGCTGTATTGTTGTGGATAATGTTGAACGTTTGTTGGACTATGGTCCCATTGGACCACGCTATTCCAATTTAACTCTACAAGCTCTGTTAGTGTTACTCAAGAAACAACCACCAAAAGGTCGTAAACTTTTGATTTTGGTTACCTCCAGCAGACGGTAAGTGAATAGGAGTACAACATTTTTGGAGAGGTCTAAGTATTTTTGGGTCCCTGTTAGATGAGAACGAAATACTATGGGCACCAAAATGTCTGTGCTTATTTTCGTGTAACATCGAAAACTGAAATAGTAAACGTACGGATTGTCTTTATTCTCATATTCCAATTTGTCCAGTACCATACGTGATAATGACTTTTTGTCAGCTTCTAAATATACAGTAGCTTAATTTTTAGATCTAGATTTCAAAATAACTAGAAAAGCTAGCAGGCCCAACCTATATGACGATCTTGGAAACCTCTTCCATTTTGGAAGAAGCCAAGTTTAATAGTAAAGTAAATATTTCAATAATGTGATGTCCAGCATTGTATTCAACACAATCCTCGAAGTATTTTTAGAATCACATAATAATTTTCGAAAATTTACTCCGTATTCCATCCGGCACTGCATTGATGTAATCTTTTTTATACCCTCAGCCATATGGCTACAGAGGATATATATCATTTGATGCGGGCAAAGCGTGCCTCATCGAAATATCGGTTTAAGACCCTAGATCTCTTTGAACCAAAACCGTTTCAGGACATTTGGAGTCGATCTAGCTATATCCGTCCGTCCATCTGTCTGGCTGGTACGCACGACAACTCTCGAAGGAAGTATCCGAAACTTGGAACATCGTAATATTATGGTGAAACTTAGAGCGAGTTCGGAGTTGGGCACCTTGGGTTCCTTCTGGTACCTCCCCCACAAAATGTCGAAATTTTCAAAGAAAATAATTAACTGCACAGAAAGAGAAATCATAATCCGATTTGCTCCAACTTTGCATATCATAATATATGCATCAGTACTAGGTCAGGTGCGAAAATGGACAACATCAGTCCACTCCATCAAGTACCTGACCCACAAAGGGTCAACATTTTTAATAATTATTACTCTTATAAAATGTGATGTAAGTGTCCGATTGTCTTCAAATTAACACACATCACAATATTTGTTTTAACCTAAGGTCTGATGTGAAGATGAAATATATCGGTCCACTCCTTCTGGTACCTCACCCACAAAAGGGTCGAAGTTTTGAATAATCATAACGATAATAAAATCCGAAATAAGCATCTGTATTCCTTGAAATTACACATATCTAAATATTTTTACTAACGCAAGATCTTTTGTGAAGAAGATATATATTTGCCATCCCCTTCTGGTACCTCACCCACAAAGGGTCACAATTTCCAATTTTTACAGGGTGATATAAATGATGATGAGATGAGATGATGAGATAAAAAACTGCAACAAAGTCAAACGCCATCATTTTTACATTTTTCTATATTTTATTGAATGAAAGCAAAAAATGTCGGAAATAGCATGAAATTTTAGAATAAGTTTAGATTTGTTCGAATTGGTCACCTTTGGCACAAATTATGGCCTTCAAACGGCCAATGAAACCGTCACATGCTGCCCGAATGTTACTCTGCGGTATTTTGGCCCATTCCCGGCGAAGCGCTTGCTTGAGGTGATCGACACTTTGGTATTTTTTAGTGCCTTGCTGTTTACTTTACAAAATACTCCAGACACAATAGTCCAACGGATTGGTATCCCGAGATTTTGGGGCTGCATTGATAGATCGTTTATGTTTTATAAAACTAGGTCTATTTTATTTAAACATTTTATAATATTATTTTTTTCTTGTTACTACCTCTTTTTTTACATTCTAATTCCAGTGAAGTTTTGGAAGAAATGGAAATGTTGACTGCATTTACATCCGTGTTACATGTACCTAATATATCACTTCCCGAGCAAGTTATTGCCGTTTTAGAAGATTGTGATCTATTTAGCAAGGGCGAACTCCAAGCTATTGGCAAGAAAATGAGCGGCAAGCGGTAAGTAACACAAAACAACTCTTAAAATATGGATATTCAAATTGCTTATTATGTTTGCAGAGTTTTCATTGGCATTAAGAAACTTTTGGCTCTCATCGATATGATAAGGCAAACTGAGCCACAGCATAGGGCCATTAAATTCCTCTCAAAAATGGAAGAAGAAGGTGGTTTGGAAATGGCGCGACACTAACTACAACGTACAAGTTTTAACATGTCAGTGGTGGAGCTCAACGATGTTTTCTAAAAGACAAAGAAGACAAACATAAATACAAAAAGAAATCCCTACTTAATAAGCTACAAAATTGAAACAGTTAATATATTGAAATCTATTAAAAAAAAAAAAAACACAAACTTATAGTAAAAGACTATAATACAGCTCCAGAACTTTCAAGATAAACATAACATGTATTAATTACAACAGTAATACACCGGAGAAAACAAATTTATTACAAAACAATTACAAAAGGCTATAGCTATGAACAAGAATATTGTAAAAATCAGGTCAACATATTCAAATTGAAACCCTTTGTGATCTCTGTTGTGTTAATTCGTATTAATAGTTGCTAAATACTTAAAACCATGGCTAGCTATGCTTAAACAAATCATGTTATTCTCTGTGTCCCCCGCAAATATGTTAGACTTTTCCGAATACCAACAAATAGATCTCTCCCTAAAGTATCCCAATCTCTGTTATTTTTTCTCCTCTAACTCTCCTACATATACATATAGATTTGTCGTTAGATAAAAAGTGTTGTTGAGAATTATAGATAATCTGTAAGTATTTTTAGTTAAATACAACATTCCAAAAACAAAACAAACATTTTGATCGAAATAAAAACAAAAAATCGTAACCAAAACAAATTTATTTTTGGTTTTCTTATCTAAAAAAAATATTGTTCAAAATTCGGCAAATGAAAATTAACATTTTTTGATTGCAGAGAATGAGATTTTGTATTTTTTAAGAAGAATTTCTTATAAAAATAAGATTAGTCCATGGATGGAGTTCATCGTTAAAAAAACGAATTGGAGTCTCCTTTAAATTTAAAAGAAAAAATATCTAGAGAATTGCTGAGGCGATGCAGTAAATGCCATTAATTATATATGCTATAGTAAAAAAAGCTTCAACCCCATCCATGTTCTGAGTCTTTTAAAAATTCAAAACGATTTTTTTTAAAAAGAACATTTAATTTATGTACTACAAAATTTCAACGAACAGCTTTGGTGTGGCCATTCTTCAACCCCACATGACATGACTATAGCTCTTAACAATTCCCTTCTGAACACTAAATCACCCTACTATATTGGAATTGTATAGCATTGTTGAAAAATCGAATAATTTATTATTAACAAAAAAAATATAATGTAATTGTTATTATTAATTAATATATGATGCTAATAAAATGATTGGGGAAAAAGCTAAAATTGGAAAAAACAATTTCTTGTGAGAAAATTGTTATGGACAACCTATTAAATTATACATACGTTTCAAAATAAATTATACAAATTATTAAAAAATATATATTATTATAAACCAAATAAGTCAACACAAAGTCAAGTCAATGAGCAATTAAATATAACTTATAACATAAAGGAATATAAATAAATAATAAATATTTAACAAAACCAGGAAAAATGTATTTATTATATAAAAAAAGAAACAATTGAGGTAAAAATATGATAGCATTTCGGGTAGCTGTGGAAACGGTAGTAAATTTAAGATTCCTCACTTGAATGAACGATGGATTCGTTCGGGAGTAATACAAGAAAGTTTGTATTTTTGTGACAGAACTTTTTGAAAAACCCACAAAAAGTGGAAATTTCCCATTACAGTGTGAGATAAAAAAACGACAAAGAAGTCAAAGGCCATAATTTTTACATTTTTTTTTTACTTTTATTGAATGAAAAAAAGGGCATGAAATACCATCAAATTTTAGAATAAGTTTAGATTTGTTCGAATTGATCACCTTTGGCACGAATTATGGCCTTCAAACGGCCAATGAAGCCGTCGCTCGATGCCCGAATGTTGCTCGCGAAGCGAAGCAACTCTTTAGCTCTTTTGAGTCTATTTTCTTTCCGTTGCACTTTTTGGAATTTGAATGGCTTTACCCCGAGCTCATTTTTCATAATGATATGTTCAGCTCACGACCCATTTTCGACCATTGCGACGCGCGTTTCGTTCAAGTCGCTTCTTTAATTTTTGAACCATTTCTGCTTACGTTGCTGTTTTCTTCCGTCCACTTCCTTGATGTCGGGCTACGGTGCCAGTATCACGGCCACCCAAATTTAAAGAAATCACACTATCACGCTGGAATTTTATCACTAATAACTTTTTTCCGGAAGATTCTCAACAAAATGCTTTTGTACGCTTGTTAACAATATAATGAGCTGTCACTGCAATAATTTGACAGCTGTCGGACGAGTGGCTTTGAAATGACAGCAGTCTGAAGTTGGTTGCAGTTTTTTCATCTCACCCTATATACACTCTCTAACCATATGGCTGAAGGTAGAATTGCCATTTATTGAATTCTAAAGCATCATAAATGTTGCCGATAACATTATGGATGTAGTTCATGGTCCTTGAACCTATAATTTCTTTGCGTCAATCTACCGCAGATTACACAAAACCATAATAGAATGCAAGTCATTGCAAAAGATTTTAAAATCCATTATTTTGAATCATGGTCCGATATAATTGTTGCTGGAAATATTGTCATATATAAAAAAACACATTTCTCTCATTTCTTTTTATTAAAAATAGTTTTTCTTTTATTCAAAAAAATTTCAACGTTTTACTAAAACAAATTCGGTTTTGTTTTCACCAAAAATTATTATCTAAAACATAACGTATTCAACAAGATTTATAGGTTTTTGTAATTTTAAAAAATATATGTTTTTTTTTAACAAAAAATACTTTGTTTTGTAATGCAAGCGGAGACATGCCTCAATATTTTTTCTATAATATTGAATTGTCTTTTTTTTTTCTAAATAACAACTTTGCTATGATTTAGTGATAGTTTTCCACTGCGTACACGCTTTTGTAGACGCTGAAATTAAAAAAGAGAAATGGGTTTCATTGTTAAAAGTTGCTTAGAAAAATATTTTCGAAAATAAATTTCGCCCAGCTTGCTGTGGGAACATTGGCTTGTTGGCATTAGTATTACTTACCAAATTAAAGACATCACGTAATATGCGATTGCCACGACGTCGTTTCTCTTCTAATTCCTGTTGTTTGCGGGCAACAACTTCGGGAAGAGAGGCAACACGTTTATTGGTCAAGGCTTTCATCTCCTTTGTCTTTAGAATACGGAGTTTTTCTGCAAATAAATAAAAATTAAAATATTTTATTTGTATACTTGAGACATGTTACACTTACGCATTGGTGGCGGTGGTAGATATTTTAGACGACGTTCCAGTGAATTAAAACTTGTATTATCCACAATTTCCCTCAATTGACGATCGCGTTCCTGACGCATGGTCTGCAATTCATTCAGTATGGCTTTACGTTCTTTAGTGTGTTTCAAAAAGTTGGGTTTTGCTCGTTTCAAATGCTCTTGTAAGGTTAGTTGCGGTGGTCCTTCTTTCTCCAAACTTGTAAGATTGTTGGTGGTAAATGTACCAGCCGATTGGGTATTTTTCAAGACATTGTTATTGGACTCTTTGGAATCGTCGAATTCAATGACATATGCAATGCCTTTGGGTTTGACTTGTATTGCAGCCGCTTTGGCAATGGATGTTTGAAATGTGGTCCCAGGCCGAGGAGGACAGTGGCTTATATATGGTTGTAGTTTATGTGCATGACAAGAATCTGAGGTTTGTACCGCCACACCAGCCACAGCAGCTGCAACATCATCATAGTGATGTGTTGTTGTGGGTGTTGATGAGATATTTTTCGAACCCATTGGTACGGAGCAATCGGACGACATACAAAAAATTGAGGGTGATGAAGCTGAAGTTGTGGTAACAGCAATTCTGGAATCCGAGGTTGAGGGTTTCGCCAGTTCTTGCCTTTTTGGAAATGATGGTTTTAGGCCCGCAGCTGTGGCCGCAGTTGTACTGTAAATAACATGTGACGAAGATGATGATGAATTGCCTATCTCCCTATCCTTTGGAGTGGGAGGTAAATTACTCTGAGGATATGCATATTCGGTGGGAGAAAATCTCCGATTCATGGTATGTGGAACAGAATAATAACCCTGCGTTTCCTTTCCAATGGGGAAATATTTAAATCGTGCCTCCACTTTTTGTTGTTGTTTTAAAATATCATAATGGTTTTGTTTTTTCGTTTTATATGATGCCATGAACTCTTGTTTTCGTTGCTTAACCATGTCACGTAAACTTCCAGTTTCCTCACTGTGATCTGTGCCACCAGGAGGTGTATCAATTTTTTGTCGTTGTATGGGATTGCTATTAATTACATGTTCAGATTTTTCCACATTTATTGACTTCTCAATTTCCTGTTGTTCGCCATTCTGTTTAGAACTATCATTGAATGGTGTACCTTCCTCACTGGACTCTTCCAGAATGACTTGAATTTCTTTAACCAAACGTTCGGCTGACTCACTTAGAACCGATGATTTATCGGAATAGACCGAATCATAGAGTTTATCGGATTGTGTTAAGTTAAAAGTTTCTTTAATTGGCAAAACATGGCTTTGATCTGACGAACATAAATTAGACGAGGTATTGGTATGATCTTGGTCTTTAAGTAGCAAATGTTTCAAACACTCCAGACGATGTATTTCACTTTCAATCCAATTTAATTGTTTTTCTCGGCCACAGCTATGTTGCTTAGTTTTCTTAGAGCTTTTTTCCCGTTTAAGGGCCTCCCTTTGGGCTGCCTTCTTTTTGTTTTCTTCTTCTCGTTTCTTTTCTTCATATTCAATTTCTGATTGTGTCAAGGGATTCAACCATTCGCGCATAGTTGCTTGGTCTCCATCTGTGTCGTAGTTTGTGGGATTTTTTCGCACTGTCTTTTGTGTGGGCAAATCATTTGATGATCTGGACGACGTGGACGTTGTCGCGTTTCCCGATGCTGAAGTGGTTCTTGCCGTGCTGGCCTTTTGCAATTTTTTCGACATTGTACTGCTTGGCGAATTACTGGTTTGTGTTGAGCGTGTTGTTTTAATATTCAATATTAGTTGTTCAGAGTCATTTTTCTTTGCCCTTTCCATTTGTTCGTTAATTAGTTCATTTTGCACATTATTGCTATTTTTCATTGCTTGGGGTTCTAGAATTGGCACTTGTTTGTGATGTGTGTTTGTGGACACAATGGTTGGAGATGACGAAGACGAAGGTTTCAAATCCAAAGAATTAGTTTGTTGTCCTCTGTCACAAAGTGTTCTCCTTTTAATGCTTTCCGTAGGGAACTGAGTTGCTTTGCCATCACGGGGCGGTCTATCATGACCTAAAACAATACATTTATATGCCTCGTTTAAATTTTTATTCTAATTCTTTATTAAACCCCCTATCTACCTTGTGATAAAGTCTTCTGTAAATCATTTCCATTTAATGATTTAATGCCTTCCACCATTTTTTGAGCTCTATCTTGAGATATTCGACGATGATTTGTGTTTATTGCAATACTCGGCTTGTCATGAGCTGAAAAATAAATTAAAACAAATATTACATTACCATTCCAAACGGGAATTCCATTTTACTTAACAAAAATACACTTACCTTCAATCGATTTACTAGTCAATTGGGCAACACCTTGTTTTGAATAATTGCCATCTAATAATTTAAGACCCAATTCTCTTTCTCCAACTAAATCTTGTGATGCTCTACGATCTTGCGTGGCTAATGTATTATTACTCCTGGTGGAACTTGAACCCCGGCGGGAATATACTGCATCATAAACATTTGATTTATCCGAAGACGTGGAATTTTGGCCTTGATGGTTTACACCCAAAGATGCCGATTCCTCTCCTTGCTCGTCCATCAAACGTGTTAAACGCCTAACAATGTCTCGTATTAGTTTTTTCTTCTGCTTTTCATTAACCTTTTTAGCATCAATGAGAGAACATATCAATTGTATACCCAAATCCAATTCCGGAGCTTGTCGTGTCAACGAAAATGAATTAGTGGTGGAGGTTGTGGTATTGGTATGCGATTGATTTTCTTTGTTTTCCTCCAGAGCTGCTTGAAATCGGGACTTAAGCTCATTTATGGTTTGCTGGGTGTTACTTTTTTGCATGGATTTTTCATTGAGTGCCTTTCGTTTCTTCAAAAGATCGGTAATGCTGGTGATGAATGGATGTTGGGCTGTTGGTGGTATACTTGTGTTAGAAAAATTACTTGATGTAGCTGCGGCTGCTGCTGAAGATGATGATATAGATGATCTGGACTTGGATGATCTCGAAGAGTAGTACTCAAAACTAGAAGGTGTTGCCGTACCCTCAATAACAGATGTTGATGATGACATGGAAACTTGAATTTCTTGAGATTTAGTACCAGCTGCAGACTTCAGCATAGATGTCTGGGCATATTTTTCAAATTTCTTTTGTAATGACGTTGATGATGTGCTCTTGGATAACATCTTTGGTCTTGCTCCACGTGTATTTGTTTTTGCCGACAAACCTTCAACCAAAGTGCTGCAAGCAAGTGGAGGTGTGGCATGTTCCATAGCACTATTCTTTACATTTTCCAATTGCTTATTTTGTGCCTTCAACTGTAGATTATTTTCCAATACCTTATCATCTTCATGTAGCTTGCTGGGCTCTGATGTCACACTGCTTTCTTTGAAGAATTCTTTGAGCAGAGATCGCTCCAACACGCTTATATTACTTGTCGACATAGATTTTTTGTAACCAATATCACCCAACGAATCCCATTCCAGACGTCTATGTGTTTTGGCTATGGAATCAGGAGTTTTAACTTGTATGTCTGCGCCATTCGCTGGCTTTTTTGGAGTATAAAGATTTTCATTAGAATTACAAACAACCTTTAACGATTCATCTTCCAATTCGATATTGATATCAACAAGAATATCCTTGACTGAGCCACTAAACTGTACTTCATCTTTATCGCGAATGTTGGGCATGCTCTTACAACAATTTGCTCCCAGTAAATTTTTCATTGATGCCAATGCTTCGCAGCTACTGTTTGATGATATTGCCTCGCTAGACGCCGGTGAATGTATTCTTAAAAATTTCTCCAAATTCCGATGCTTACCATATTTTTTATAATATTCAGAATATTTCATAGTTTTTTCATTATTTCGTGGTGTTTTTGGCAGACGGTGGCAATGATCCATAATGAGTGCTGGAATGAATGAAAGCAAATGTTTTGCCTTCACGAGCACGAGCCACAACGAGCAGATGTTGTTTTTTTTTTTTTAAAAAGGAGCAGAGCAGATGGTAAATGTTGTGCCAGCTATTGTTATTTTCCTTTACTGGAGTGGATAGAAAATTCAATTTCCCTCCCATTAACCATTAACACTAACAACTAGAAAATCAACCCCCCTCGAAGAGGAGATAGAGATATAAACAAATATAGTATGGCTTGTCAACGACAGAGGGCTACAGCTTTAAAAGAGTCGTTTTACTACACTTAAAGACACAGCAAACGGATGGACAAACGTTTTGTTTTCGTTACTTTATTTTGTGTCTTTTTTATTCATTGGCATACATTAATGCTCTCTTCGTAATAGTTGAGACCGGGAGCAAGCCTCTCTTTGTTTTTACTTAATACTTTTTTTGTTATTACTCGCAAGTTACATTTCTCTCTCATTAAAACAAGAGGAAAACAGTTCTGCTATCATTTCGTAGAACATTTACCAATGTTATAGAAGAAGAAAAATACTGGAAGAAACTATACCTTTACTACTCCTTCCGTTACTGGATTGAATGAAAAATCAAATTTGGCTTCCACCTAATTAAAACTAAGACCAATAATCACCATCATCAGAGGGCTATGGGCACTTTATTATACTTGTTTTTTATACTTTGTTTTACAACACTGTAAATGTCGGGTTATCATTTCTTCTTGATTAGCAAAATCAGAGATGGAAAACTGGAATGCTTTTCAATATAAAATGGCATTCTTTGGTGCGGAAACATACGGCCAGCAAAACATGCAACCCCTTTCTGTTCATAGTTAAAAGCCGGAATTTTTTGGCGTTAGTCTTCCGGCTGACTCTAACTTGCATCTTTCATTTATATTTATGCCTTTCTATAAAAGCACAAAAGAAGTTTGCCAGTAAAATTGCTAAATGTAAATTCGTATTTGCTATTTATGGCAATAATTTTAGATACAGTAATCTACATTCATGGCCTATATAATGTCTGCCAGTAAGCCCAACTGACAACATAATTTTCTGTCTGTAGACAAAAATTGTGATTTGAATTTTAAAAAACTTAATTCACAATAATTCAAAAACTTCAATACATGACCTATAACACAATCAATAAAGTGTCACTGGACTCACTCATTAAAATTTCAATAACATTTCTGACTTTATTTCTTTTTTAGTTGCATTTAATTCACTAAATTTGGTTGAATTTTCTCTACATTTTCTTTGCAATTTCAATGTATGGTTAAAATGTTGATTTCGTTTGTTACTATTGTGATTGGTGTTTACATAGTATTTAGTTTTAAAAAATTAATATATACGAGTAATCTGATATATTTTCCTCTTGACAAAACAAAAATAGATATTTTTTTGTTACATGACTTAATAAGGTCTGGTTTGGGAACTAAAACCTAGACCAACACCACGCATTGTGTGGGTAACTTGACGAGCAACTTCATATTGCTGTTCCATTGTTGAGAACATTGCTTCGCGGGATTTGAAGTCGGGATTAGTGTTGGAGGATGTTGCATCGGCCTTTTTCTCGTTACCCTCGGGTGGATTCGATTCTGTGGGAGCATTTTTAATACCCATGAGACGCATAAACTTGGAGGCCACTTTACCATCAGAATCCTGGGAGAACTGTGCATGACCCCATTTCGATGCAGCATCTTCGGTTTTTTTGGCTCCCCATATTAGTTTACGTTTTTGAATTTGCTCGGCATATTTATTGGGATTGATTACTTTGGGATTGTAGTAACTAGGTAACTGTACCGTTAGGGCTGTTGAAGATGATTCACCATCAGGTTTTGTTGCAATTGGAGGAACTGTGACAACATTTGGTTGTTTTGGTGCTGTTTCACTGAGAGGCAGGGACAGGAGGGCTTCAAAATTACGTGCCGAAGGTAAAACCTTCTTTTCAACAATATCACCACCACCAGCTGTTTGGGATTGCGATAATGTTGATTTGGACTCATCTGGACGGCTGGATACTGGTTCATTGGGACAATCTCTTTGTGAGCTATTGCGCTCATTTTTCTTGTTGGGCGAATCTGCAGTGGTATGGCCTGATGCTAAGGATGCTTCATACTTACGTTCATTTTCTTCACGACGATCTAAGGAATATTTGCTATTTGGCCGATATGAACCGGTAGATGATCTATCCTGATAATACGACGAAGACGAACGTTGTGCACTGCTGCCATTGCGATCATCATTGTTACGATATTCCTTTTTCTCATGGTAGTCATTAGTTTTACGATAATCTGTTCCTCTTTTGTCATTATATGTACCATTGTTATCACTGCGTCTTTCGTCGTTTATTCTTTTTTCATCCCGTCTATCATCTCTTCGTTGATCATAGGATTTGCGATCATCATATCGAGATTTAGATGAATTGCCAGAATGTTCTTTATTATAATTATTGGACGATGAGGATGATGGGCCCATTTTTCTGTCATCGTAACGTGAACGTTTTTCATCTCGATAATGGTCTGCCTCACTGTCGTTACGTTTACTACCGCTGTCACGTTTGTAGTCCTTATTGTGACGCTTATTATCAGGGTACTGAAAAACATTAAATTTTATTATAGATCCTTAGGTTGTTTTTCTTCTGTAGAAAGGTAGAAATTTAAAGAATGATTTTGACAAAAAATAAAATTGACAAAATTGAAATAGCTTTTACTTACCCTCTTATTATTCCAATGCCCATTATCGTGGCTTTTATAGTCATTCCTCATGTCCCGATTGCCACGATTATCTCGATCATATTTAGCCGAATCTTTTCTGTTATCTTTACGATCGCGAGATGAGTCGCGACTATACTTTTCCGAACGTCTATCAGTTTTATATTTATCCTGTAAGAGAAATGTTAGTGAAAGGATACTATACGTATTAATTTAACGACCCGGAATATAGCATAGAACTATTCTATATCATTTTTAAAACTATTAATTCTAAATTAAAAAAAAAAAAATAAAACATTTTTAAGAATTTTGATATGCTCCTTTTACCTCTCTATGATTTAAAATTAATTGCAATTTTTTTTTTTTAATAATGATTTTGGAATTTTTGTACATTAATGATAGTATTGAATGGTATATTATCATACTTCTTACTGTTAAAACCCTGTAAAAGAATTTTAAACATTTTGGGCATTTGCATTTAGGTTTTTTTTTTCTTGTTATAATATTGATCATACTCACGTTTCGAAGCTGCTCATCACAAAGCCTTTTTATGGAAGGGGCAAAACTCAATCTCCTAGAAGCTACAGTCAGTATTTCTTTGTGATTGTGATTCAAAGAGAGAGGGAGGGTCGATAGTGGTAGTTTACCAGGCAGTTGTTATTTAGCGCGCCTGCTATTACTACTTTTTGTTGCCGTTCTTATGGTAAATGTTTCTTGGTACTCAACTTTGTTTTTTTTTAATAGAATGGAATCGAATTTTTAATCTAGACACATTCTATTTGGGAGGAAGTAATGTTCGAACATCTCCTCTATATTTGGTAGTTTTCTCAATCAATCGTAGCAGAGTTTTGGTTTAATTATTTGTTTTTGGTTTAAGTTGAGTTTTGTGGTTTTTAAAGCTTTTCGATTTTTAAATGGGTTGTGTTTTTTTTTCGATAATAATAACAAAAGTGGATATTTAATTAATAATGTATAAATGAGTAAAACTAAATAAAGTATAATAAATATATGTATTTTTTGTAAATATAAATCAAATACCTAGACAAACCATTTAAGACAAAATAAAATCAAAGCTCATCAATAGCCAGCAAAATGCAAGACAAGTAATCCGGATGACAGATATTCTTTTCAGCAATTAGGTCAAGATGTTTATGTACGAAAAGTAATGCAGGCGAGAAGAACTTGGGAATCAGTTATAGACAAAGGTTGCTACAAAAAGGTTACCGTGAGCTATTCAAACAAGTGCGATTCGACATAGTCCACCACTTCGGAACTTGATATAAATTGCGGTTAACTAACTTTGAACAGGGAAAAGATTTTTACCACATTTTAGTAAAGTTATGATTTCTCAAAATACGTGAATGATGTATGAACAAATCTGCAAGAGCCACGCCTTTTTTAATTTTAACTTTTTAACCCCTTGCATAGGAACTACTAGAACTACCCAAGCTTTGATAAAGCAATTTTAGGTTTTCAAAAAGTTTTGAACAATAAATAGGAGACTCTTTTTAATCGAATTGAGATTTATGTTTTTCTTTAAAGTATTTAAAGGCAGCTATCAGAAGCTGTCGGTCCATATTTGTTAAAAAGATGAGAATTTGGAATGAGCGTGTTTACTTGCCAAAGAGGTCAGTTGAAAATGTGGACCTTCGGTTGGCTACCAAAATTCAACCGCCGGCCATGGTGATGGTGTGGGCCGCCATAACAGCCGATGATCACTCTCCGCTCTTACTAATCGACCGTGGCATCAGAATAAATGCCGAATATTATCTCGAAAATATTCTGGAAGGTGTATTAAAGCCATGGGCAATCAAACATTTTGGCCGCAGAACTTGGACATTCCAACAGGACTCAGCACGCGCCATCCAAGAATGGTTAAAACAATAAGGTTCCTCGCTTCATTTCCAGCGCACAATGGCCACCAAAATCTCCGGATACCAATCCGTTGGACTATTGTGTCTGGAGTATTTTGGAAAGCACGGTAGGCACTAAAAGATACCAAAGTGTCGATCACCTCAAGCAAGCGCTTCGACGGGAATGGGCCAAAATACCGCAGAGCAACATTCGGGCAGCGTGTGAAAGTTTTATTGGCCGTTTGAAGACCATAATTCGTGCCAAAGGTGACCAATTATAACAAATCTAAACTTATTCTAAAATTTGATGCCATTTCCGACATTTTTTGCTTTCAATCAATAAAATTTAAAAAAATAAAAATTATGGCGTTTGACTTTGTTGCAGTTATTTTATCTCACCCTGTATTTTATTATTATTAATATGTGGGACATTACAAAACGGAGAGGAACTTAAAAAATTTTACAAATACGAATAGATAAGTTTCAATGAACTCATTCTTAAGACAATCGGAGTATTTAACAAAATTGCAATCCTAACAGACACAGAATTGTTGCGATGATACGCATAGAGGTCTATAAAATAGCTGTTTTAAAATTGGGTAAGGAAAGATACATATATAAGAATCCCGAGTCGAACACCTCTCAAGAACTGATCTAAAATAATAGGTACAAAATTAAGACAAAAAGAGAAGCTTGAAACAATTTTAGAATACTACCCAACATACCAAAAATACAATACAGCTTGAGAATAATATTATGAAAATAGTTTATCATAAGAATTTTTCAACAATGCTTGAGAAACACTTTTTTGCACAAACTTTTCTCAAATCTGTCCTTTGTTGACAAATTTGTTTTGATTTTTTTTTGTGAAAATTGTCAACAAAAAATTATTTTCTTTGGTTAAAATCAAAATCACGCGAATTTAGGACCCATTTCCGGACGAAACTCTAAGGTAATGATGAATAATAAATCTGGGAATCTGTAGTATAAATTATTTCAATCTCATTTCAGAATGGTGGCGTCAAAAAGTTGCAGGAATTCAACAGAAGTGAAGAATAAGTGGAGGAGATACAGAAGCTCAAATAAGGGGAAAGAAAGCATCTAGGTATCAAGGCAACAGGATGCAGTGACAGCTGGGATGGCAATCAATGAATGAAATGTGTAAAATAATTAAAAAATGAATAAATAAATATTTTTTACCATTGAAAAAATAAGCTTTATAAAATATTACTTTCGTAAGCTTATTCTGCAATTACAAGAATAAGCTTATGAATAAGGGTTCCTTTTCGATTATTCTATAATTGTTAAACAAACATTTCTCAATACATTCTCAAGATTTTCTCAAGCTTTAGGCTTATGTTTGTAAGCTTATTAAAATATTATTCTCTAGTCAATTTGGTATGTTGGGTAAATTATATTCTAGGGACTGTTTTTGTGCGAGAAAAACGCCGTTCCAAGTATGTTTTTTGTTTAAGTTTTGGGAAATATAGGAGATAATCATTTGGAATTGTGTTTGTATTCATACAGAACAGAAACCCAACATACCAAATTGACTTGAGAATAATATTTTAATAAGCTTACAAACATAAGCCTAAAGCTTGAGAAAATCTTGAGAATGTATTGAGAAATGTTTGTTTAACAATTATAGAATAATCGAAAAGGAACCCTTATTCATAAGCTTATTCTTGTAATTGCAGAATAAGCTTACGAAAGTAATATTTTATAAAGCTTATTTTTTCAATGGTAAAATATATTTATTTATTCATTTTTTAATTATTTTACACATTTCATTCATTGATTGCCATCCCAGCTGTCACTGCATCCTGTTGCCTTGATACATAGATGCTTTCTTTCCCCTTATTTGAGCTTCTGTATCTCCTCCACTTATTCTTCACTTCTGTTGAATTCCTGCAACTTTTTGACGCCTCCATTCTGAAATGAGATTGAAATAATTTATACTACAGATTCCCAGATTTATTATTCATCATTACCTTAGAGTTTCGTCCGGAAATGGGTCCTAAATTCGCGTGATTTTGATTTTAACCAAAGAAAATAATTTTTTGTTGACAATTTTCACAAAAAAAATCAAAACAAATTTGTCAACAAAGGACAGATTTGAGAAAAGTTTGTGCAAAAAAGTGTTTCTCAAGCATTGTTGAAAAATTCTTATGATAAACTATTTTCATAATATTATTCTCAAGCTGTATTGTATTTTTGGTATGTTGGGAACATTCTCATAGATTTCAGCAACACAAGGAAAACTTTTTTTTTTAAATTTTTAGTGCATGTCATTAGACATAAAATTCTCAGCCTTTGTAAAATTACAACAAGAAATCAACCCCTATTGACAATATCAGATAAAAAGGCACCCCATAGCCCTCTATTTGGCGACAACAACAAAAACATACAATTATATTCTGCCTGCAAAATTCCGCATACATATGGTATGGACACTACATATTTTATAATCTAAAAAATTATATTTCAATTTAAACAATTCAATTTTTAATTACCTCATCATCACGACGGCTGTAGTGACTGCCACTGCTACCGCTCATGTTGTTTGCGCCACTCTTGAAGGAACGTTCTTTTTTGTCTTTCTCTTTGCGAGAAGGGGGAGGAGGTGGTGTTCCACGTTCGCTGCCATTGCTTGAACTGGAAGAGCTCATGGAACGATCACGTCGTTGCTTCTTATCGTAGCTACCACCACCGCCGCCGCCACCAGATCCAGATGCACGTTGTTGTCTATCACGTTCACCCTAAAGGAATTTGGCAACTATTCAGAAACAGCAAATATGGTGTTATTTCAAAGTACAAACTAAATTAATAAATAGCATAGTTTAAATAATTTGTTTTCTTTTTTATATCATTACATATGCAGAACTATTATGTAGGTATTTATGCTAATATTGCAAATTTCATTTTTTTTTCTAAATTTTTATATTTTTTCTCTATACTAAATTTTTAGTCCTAAGGACGGCCATTTCTTTAGTTTTTTTACGTACAAAAGTTTTCAAAACAATACAATTTTAATATACTATCAAGTATTTACCGCTTTTGTGTAGGAATAATCATCCTGTTCCTCCTCGCTACTATAATTTACAAGTCCAGACATAATATTCTGATTAATATTCCTTAATTTTCAAAATATTGTAAATTATTTCCTCGATTTTGTGTTTGCTAGAGTTGGCTAACAATCGATGGCAGCATCGATACTTTATTATAGGAGAAGTATCGATTGACAGTTTCTTCTATCGATATTATAGGACGAAATAAAAGTGAAGTGGATAAACACAGTCACTCATAGTGACAGTCATAAAATCGATTGTTTCCCTTTGGTAGGCCACAGTATCATCATCAATATCATGGGGGTCTTCTGCTTCATAAACTCTCAGCAAACGAACTGTCAATTTTAGAGTACCAAAAAGACCTTCTCTTCGGAGTTCATAGAGAAAACAAGATATTTGTAGGGAATTGACGTTTACGATTTATATTTATTTCTTGAATGATGGTTATGTGTTACACTATCATTTAAATAAACAATTAACTAATTACTATCCAACATCCACAATCATTTTTATTTTTCCTTGTTGAATGAGAGAATTGAGATGACAGATCAGCAAACAATTCACATTTGAGAAAAAATTGGTACTCGTGAACGACTGTGTGTTTACTACATAAAAATGTATCGATATTGCCATTGATTGTTTGCCAGCTCTAATCGAAACTAGTGCACCCTAATCCATCGCCAAACTCGAACAGCTGATCCATGGTTTTTGTGGGTGTAAGCATAGGAGGAATCACTAGAATTATCAACTCAGCAGCATGTCCACAAATCCTTTTGGAGATGATCATGATGAGGATAGCGAAATTCTGGAAGGCTTCATCTGTCCAATATGCCGCGAAGACTTGAAATCTTTGGAGTTCCTTATATCGCATTTTGAACGACAACATCCCGAAGATGACGACCTAAAAACAACATTCCGTGAAATATTTAGTAAGGCTAAGAAAAAACTAAAATCCAATTTTGAGGAAACCTTTGATTTGTCACGTAATTTCGAACGAAATGCATCGATATCACGTAGTGGTGGTGGCGGTGCATCAGCCAACAGCGAAGAACGACGGAGTAACGCTCGTTCCCGCATGAATTGTTTTAATTTTATGGACTATCAAGATGTGGGTAGGGAACAACAGCATATGGATCTATTTCAGTCGGTGAGAAATCCGCGGTTGGAACGTTATGCCAGTGAAACAAATAAACTGATAATACGTCTGCACAAATTGCTAAAAGATATGCCCACAGATGCCGTCCTGCGTAAGCAACATGAACAAAATGTAAGTTGATAGCCCATTTATTTGCTTTTAAAATAATTCTATTTAATTTCTCTTTCTCCCAGATTGTGCCATGGCTGGATGGTAGTTCGGTGAAATTATGTCCCAACTGTGCCAAAAGTTTTAACATTACCAGACGAAAGCATCATTGCCGCATTTGTGGTAGTATTATGTGTCATGACTGTTCCAAATTTTTATCCATTGAAGTTGCAAGTGAGTGTAATTAATTCAAAGCCGATAAAAATGCGAATTGGGGGATTTTTTGATAAGAGCGTTAAACAATTTTTTATTAAGAATGCAGAGAAAGACAGTAATATATTGCATGTGTGTCAAAAACAGAAAACTCCTCGTAAAATTTAACGAAACTTTATTTGCCTTAAACCCGAATTACAGTTTTTGGAAAGAAAATATGTAGAGCTGTGATTTATTTTTTTGTATTAAACTTATATTGAATTATTTTTTTTTCAGTGGAATTGGCAAGCCTTACAATGTCCCAAAGTGAACCACTCAAAATGCCTAATGAAAAAGGTGCACCGGGTACATCGACTCCCCAACCAAATGCAATACGATCTTGTGACCATTGTCTATGGTTATTGGAAACCAGACAAGAGATGCACGAAAGTCGTACTTGTCGTCCACCTATAACTCAAATCTATAACGATATCCAACAGCTTAAGAAAAAAGTAATGCCTGATATTGAAATGTATTTAAAAATCGTAAATAGCCTGTATGAAGGTGAATCAATATTTACTCTTAACGATGCAAGTGCTTTACGTGGAAAAATTGGACAAATTGCCGAAGCCATAGATATTTTGAGTAAACGTATTTTGGCATTACCCTGTGAACCGGGAACCCGAGAAGAGAGTCTTAAAAAATCCATACGTTTATCTTGTATACAACTGATAAAAGAAAATATGCTTTCACTGCCGCCACTGCCCAAGGAAGATGAAATACGTCAGATACAAGAACGTAAACGCATGGAAACGGAAATGCGTATTGCCACTGAGCGAAGACTAGCCATGGAGGCGTATGAAAAGTATGGTTTGGCAAATGCCAGTGCGGATCAGAGCATAAAATCAGGGGATTATGCCCAGGGTGTAAGTCGTTTGTAATTAATGATACACGTTTTTTTTTCACAATATGTTTATTTTTCAGACTGATTTACAATCTCTGGATAACTGGACAGCCCATCAAATACGCAACGAAGATTTGGTACAAAGTGATGATCCATTGGTGGAACAAATCAATATTATTAAGGGTTATATTAAACAAGCAAGGCAAGATTTAAATTTTGAAGTTGTTGAAACATTGGAGATGAATCTGCGAGAATTGCAAAAGGAATTCTACGAACGCCAAAGATCATTGAGTAAAACGGCAAATACACCAACCGATGACAATGAAGCTTTGTCAGCAAATAATTAAATGGCAGGTGCATGGAAGAAAAATTATATTTATATGCAGATCATGGCCTATATAAGTTCGGCCAGAAAACCCATCTAACATCCAAGTTTGATGTCAAAAGACATAATTGTGAGTTGAAATTCAAAGAATCCAATAAGAATTCTTGGCCGTCTTTGTGTAGGCCTTGATGCAGACCTCCTGATATATTCGTCGACAAAATGTCCTCTCTTTATATTTTATACATTTACATATTGATGTTGAAATGGTAAAATAGTGTCGCCCACTTTAGTATATAACAAACAAATGCTTTTGTTGTTTGTAGTAGATCCTTTGTGATATATAGAGAATCGTATACTTTGAATTTCACAAATTTTAGTTTGGTTTTCCCCCCAGCTTTACTATTTATTTACACGTGTAGTGTAGTATGATTTAAGACTTATATCTAATAAATGCATTTTATTTTCGGCAAATAATATTTAAACAAATTGTTTTTTAGTAAAAAAAACTTCAAGTTAAACAAAATCGTGTAAAATTATTTGAACCTATCCGATTGCATATTTCCGAACAAAAACCATCCGATGCTGGATTGGTTTTTTTTTACAAAATCCATTGTTACCCAAATATAATGCAACTTTAAAGTGAATAAAAAATCCGTAAAATAATTTAGTATTGAAAAAAATGTGTGAATAATTTTATTTCATTTTCTAGCAAACTACTAATGTAAATTGTGCATTACATTTTGTTCGTGTTTTCCTTTTCTCCTTAATAAATGCCAGTATTATTTTCAATAATACATCAAATGGACTGTTTTCTATTACTTATATTGCGTTTCCTTTTTAGGCTTTAAGACCAATAGATTCAATCAGAGCCTTGACTTTTTCAACATAGGCATTCATGGCATCATCCTTTGATGTTCCCTTGCGATTGTTCCAGGCTTCCCATTTAGCCTTGCCTTTGAAGTCCAAAAAGCCGGGCTTATCTGCAAAAGAAAAAAATATAATTTTGTATTACTCGTGATAAGACATTGGTACAGTTTCAGAACCTACAATAATTTACTATTTTTGCAATATTTACAGACACGGAAATTTTCTTATTAGACAGATTTTCTTTAGGTAAGTCTATTTTCTATTGCATAAGGTCTGTTTTCCCTAAATTTCGTAAATATTCTTCGAAGGCGATTATTGATTTGTGATTTATTTATATATTATACTCCCCTAAGTATATTTTAAAAATAACCCGCACATACAGGGTGAGATGAGATGCTTTCATTCAATAAAATTTAACAAAAAATGTAAAAGTTATGGTGTGTGACTTTGTTCCGGTTTTTTTTCTCACCCTGTATTATATTCCTAAAATCCACGTTTGTAGGTTTACTTTTAAATATGGATTAAATATGTATGAGTTAATATTCATTTGCATATTTTATTAACCATACCTTTTCTTCTGGCATATACATTTCCCTAATACTTGTAGGTTCAAAGTCTACGGGAAAAATTTTGTTCCTATATGTTCTGTACTTTAAATACCTCAGCCGTTGTAATCTGCGTTCTATTTTTAAAAATTATATTATCTTATCCTTGTAATGCTACCTTAAGTAGTAAATCATAATCAATTAAGAACACCATAGCAAATGTTTTCTTAAACAGTTTTGGGCAATACTTATTTCATTGCTGCTACATACATCGATTAGAAATCATAAATTGTTTTTAGCAAGATAACATATAAGAAATATAAAGAGGTCATGTATTACCTGTATTGCAATCACCGACTGTGGCTTGTTTGTAAAGGCTGTACAATTCCAATAAATCGTTATCAGCTGGAGATGATTTCAAGTTCTTAACATCTTCGGCGGCTTTGTCGAATTCCTAAAGATAAGTTAAAGAAAACATAAAAATTTAAATAATAACACGTGTCTTAATGTCAATGGTCTGATAATAGTAAAAAAACAACTAGCTAATAAATTGGAAAACACCTATACATATAAAATTAATAGTTTAATTATAATCTAAAACTCATAGATACCTACCCCTTGGCTAACCATTTTCACTCACTGGACACTGTGTTTACTTGTGCGTTGCTAAATTAATACTGAAAAGAAATTGTCCAAATGGAAAAAAGTAATTAGATTCATTTTAACCTGTTACCTTAGAGATCATTTAAAATTTTCCCAGCCCATCACCCCATATACACTGTGTACATATATGTATATACAAATACACACACTTTGTATTTGACATGGGTCACTCCCTCCTATTCAATACTTTGTAATACAATTTAAATGATTGTGTTACTTGAAAAAATATTAACCGTTTTTCAGATAACTATCATGTAATTGTTGTTAATAAAAAATTTAATACAGATCTTAAGAAAAAAAAAACTAAGGAAAAAAGCTCCTACCTCCACTCCTTTCAGTGAATCAACTTTAACTAATGATGGGTGCCGGCAGAAATTGTTCAAAGATGACGTATCGTCGTGTCGTATCAATCGTATCCATATCAAAAGCAAAGGTATCGCCTTGTATGCCGACGTATGTTATTTGTCAATGACCATATGTAGACACTATTAGCTATGTTCCCTTACGTGCAACCATGGTAGAAGAATATAGGTAGACGCGTCGACACAGCTGCTGGGACAATGAACTGTCAAACCAATTTTGGAATTGAAAATGTTGAATGAAAAATTATATAATGATGTCGTATAAGAAAATGTCGTATAAGAAAACATATAAAAATCTACTTATATTTGAAAAAACATTTAAATTTTTTTTGACATATAAATGCTCCTAAGCGTTGATGCATCTACCTGTATTCTTCTGTCATGCGTGCAGCCCATGGTAAAATTAAGAATTTACCTTGTCAAATTTCACTGCATAGAAAACATGTTTCCATCTGTGATATGTGTATGCATGGCATAATTACAAAAGGTACAACAAAGCTACTCCCTGAACACCATTTTCCTTTTGGTACCCTTATTCTGTCAAAACACATACAGAGTGAGATTAAAAAACTGCAACCAACATCAGACTGCTGTCATTTCTAAGTCACTCGTACGAGAGCTGTTAAAATTATTCCAGTGACATCTCATTATATTGTTTACAAGCGTACAAAATAATTTTGGTGATAATTTTCCAGAAAAGAAGTTATTAGTGAAGGAATTCAAGCGCGATAGTGTAATTTCTTTATATTTGGCTGGAAACCACAAATAGCTATCGTTAGAGCACTCCACCATTTAAATGTGAATAAATCTTACGAAGCTCGTACCATCGCTCGTTACCGTTATACTGGTAGCATAGCCCAACGTCAAGGAAGTGGACGAGAGAAAACAGCAACATCAACAGAAAAAAATAGACTAAAAAGAGCTAAAGAGTTGCTTCACTTGGCCGAAAGTGGTGAACTGCCGAATTTGGTTTTCTCCGCTCCGATGAGAAAACATTCGTTGTCCAGCAGTTCGTGAGATTGTGTGGGCCGCCATAGCATCCGATAGTCGCTCACCGCTCGTATCAATCGACTGTGTCATCAGAATAAATGCAAAATATTATCGCGAAAATATTCTGGAGGGTGTATTAAAGCCTTAATCAGACCTTGGACATTCCAACAGGACTCAGCACGCGTCACCCAAAAATGGTTACAAAATGAGGTTTCCAGCGCACAATGGCCATCAAAATCTCCGTATACCAATGCGTTGGACTATTGTGTCGGGTGTAATTTGGAAAGCAAGGTTTACACTGAGAAATACCAAAGTGTCGATCACCTTAAGTAAGCGCTTCGCCGGGAATGGGCGCCAAGCTGAAAAGAGAACAATAAAAATTGCCGCCAATAAACTCGCCTGGCATAAATCAGGACTAAACAAGTACTTGCCGCAAGTAAACTCGCCTAATTTAAATTTCAACTACCATACATACACAAAACAATAGGCAAAAAATCATGAGAAATAGGCCCGTTTTTATAAATATTTTCTTTATAGCTCAGTTTTTTTAAGGCAAGGGATAATGCCTTAAAAAAATAATGGAAAAAGTTCACATTATCGGGTTCTCATTATTACATATTTTCTTTTAAAATAAATGCATTTTTCAGAGAAATGGCAATAAATGATTAATAATAGCTGATTTTTTTCCATTTTATTTTTAAAGGAAAAAGCAAAACGAATATGTAATTCTTTTTGTGAAATAAAATAAAATATTTACGATATCCATTTTTTTATTTGATAACTTTTTACTGGTATTGTCATATTATCAATATAAAATATGCCAACATGAATTCAGTAAACTTTTTGCGTATTGGACAATTCATATTTAAATATAACTTGTAATAACGAAATACGATGTACTTGGCCTACAACACAAATTTTTTATCTATCGGAAATATATAACCGGACATATCATTGTGAACGGATTCCATTAAATAACTGCATAATAAAAAGCCAATTTGTTTTGTGTAAGCATTGGGTTAGTCTTCGCAACGGAAAACATCGTGTCTGGTTCCTTTCCTCAATCAGTGAGCCAGCTGGTTCTGTGCTCTTTTGGTGAATGTGTTCAACCACTTTTTGTTTTGATTTCATTCGTATTGTCAGTCTTTCCCTTTTGATCACATCTTTATTGAGATTTTGCTGTCTTTTGTTTTGTTTTGATTTTTATTTTCATCAACCACTCCCTCTTTGTCCTTTGTCTACGGCTTTAGACCTGAGCGAATTATGGTAATATTAACATTTAAATAATTTAATTATTTTGCAAAATGTTTTCAATAACAAATTCACTTATTAGGTTTTCAAGGAAACTGATACAACTCCACCTAGCGATGAAGAGGATAATCCGTCTATGTCTGAGCAAGGGCCACAAAATGAACCCAACCCAACATATAGCGTAGAAAGTCAAGAAATCCTTCGTATATTATTGGAGATTGGCAAAAAGCTATGTATGTATTGACATAAGTGGTTTATACGTAGTTGTTATTTGATGGATTTTCTATTGCAGATATACAAATGAAAATGTTATTCCATTTTGTAATGACCGACCTCGGTGGCTATCAACTAATTGATCGAATCGTTCAATGGTCGGTACAAAATCCACAAATGGCATTATGTGTCTTGGCTGCCGGTTTGGTAGCATCACTGCCAATTTTGATATTTATTTGTGTTGGACTTTCAACGCTCTTCGTTACGCTGACGGGATTTTTGGTCTTGGAAGGTTTGTTTGATTGGAGAGATAAAGATAAAAAATATTAGTTATCGCTATTCATGATTACATCTTTTAGGAACCTTGCTGACAATCTTTTCCATGATGTTATGCGGTCTCTTGGGCGCTTTGGTAATTGTTGTGCTATTCTTCTTAGTTGTGGGCTTGTTTGCCTATTTTGGCTTTGCTCAAATCTATGATTTATATGGGAATGTTGAAAGTCACAAATCGGCCTTATTACGTTTTCTACAAAATGAAAAACAAACATTGCCACAAAAATCAAAAAGATCACAAACTACCAATGCAACTTCGGGCCACGAAGATATTGTAAATTAGATAGGTATACCTGCGAATGATATGTTGGAAAATAGAAAATAGCTGTTATTACTTAACGAAAAGTTTGTTTACATATACAATCTCTACGCGGGTTAATTCTGATATCAGGGTAGTCGGATAGAGATTTTATATGTAAACGTACTTTTAACATCACATCGGAAATACGAATTCCTGACCATAAAAGACACAAATCTCACTAGATAAGCTTAATAAATTAATATTTATCGGAAGTTATTTACTTTGCATAATTATTCATTGACGAATATACAATGAATTTAATAAAGCCATAAACATAATATTGACATTTTTAGAGGAATTATCTGCAAAAATATCTGTAGGAAACAATGGAAAACTTCGTTTATAACTAGAGTGGAAATTGAAAACAAAATATAACTGAAACAGCAAAAACTAGAATCTGTATATTTTTAGGTTTGAAGATCTGTATATTTTTAGGTAGAGAATGCAAATTGCAAAAAATAATTACAAAAAAAAAATTATTAAAACAAGTTAAAAATTATCAGTCGCTATTGCCGACAGATATATACCCTTAGCCTATGTTTGATTAAATAATCGATATATATTGGACTATTGTTACAATTATTCAAACGTTTGACCTTCTATGGAGCTGGTTCCGAAGGAATGGACCAATATTGTCCATTTCGTATCAGACCCAAAAATATGTTATAAATATTCCAACGTTTCTGGTATGGATTATATCGACTCACTCCTTCACTTTTTTGAGATATGTAATAATTTTTAGAAAATGTTAAAATGTGCGTGATGTACCATATAGAGTCTACCGAAATATTCCAATTTTTTATACTTCATCTGATACAAATAAAAAATATTGAATTTCGGATTTTATGCTCGTTTTGGTTATTCGAAATTTGGAACCTGGGGGAGGTACCAGAAGGAATGGTCTGATCTCTACCATTTTTATAATAGATCTTGTGTTAATGGAAATATTGAGATGTGCCAAGTCTAAATGGAATCGGATCTTAAGCGTTTTATGAGCTTCGTGGGTATTCAAAATTTCGACACCTTGTGGGGGAGGTACCAGACATTCCATTCTCACACCAGACTTTGTGCTAATAAAATTATTGGGATGTGTGAAATTTGAAGACTGTCGGACTCTTACATCACATTTTATAAGAGTTGTAGTTATTAAAAATTTGACCCTTTGTGGGTGAGGTCCTTGATGGAGTGAACCGATATTGTCCATTTTCGCACCTGACTTAACACTGATGATAATATTAGGATTTGCAAAGTTCGAGCAAAATCGGATTGTCCTTTCTCTGGAGTGGAGGAGTGGACCGATATTGCCCATCTCCGAACTCGATCTAAGTTTTACAAAAATATTACGATGTACCAAGTTTGGATCAAATCCGATACTCCCTTCGAGAGCTATCGTGCGCACCAGCCAGCCAGACAGACGGACGGACGGACGGACGGACATAGGTAGATCGACTCAAAATGTTCTGAAACGGATTTGGTCCAAAGAGATCTAGGGTCTAAAACCGTTATTTCGATGAGGCACGTTTTGGCGGTATCAAATGATATATACCCTCTGTGGCCATATGACTGAGGGTATAATCACAGAAAAGCAACGACGAAAAAGAAAATTGCTGAAAATAATTGCTTTGTATAAATTCAAGAGGCAAATTCAAACGAGAACTGTATTGCCGCCAGTGAACTCACCTAGTATAAATCAGGACTAAACAAATACTTGCCGCCAGTAAACTCGTCTAGTATAAATCAGTACTAACAATAGAAATGCGGGCAATTGTCAATAACTTCAAACATTTATTTTATTAAAATTTCGTTAAAGTGGTTTAAAAAAAATTAAACATATGATTGCATGGCATTACCTTACCTTCTATTCTTGGATAGAATTATTCTATCCAAGGAAATAAAAACATAAATAAATATAAACTTGACGAGCTTTCTGCGTTTTTCTCATTTCAGAATTCCTAAATCTAATAATTGAAAGTATTTTTGAATCATGACTTTTTGTAACTTAACATTGGTTTGGATGAACTTAAGAAAATCTATGATCAAATAAAGCTATGATTAATGTTCGGTACTGCTTTGCATCGTCACCCAAATTATGCGTTTTACGAAGATTCGTAATTTATTTCATTTTTATGAGAACGTGATTAGCGTAAATAAAGCTTAGGGTGCAAGTACATGAAAAGCTTGAAGTCATGGCTAGGCATATTAATGTCAAATTATAATGGAAAACGACGGCAGGATTTTAGTGCTGCTCCGTAATCCCTTTATGAAATGTCACATAATATGCCTAGCCATGACCTCAAGCGTTTTTATGTACTTGAACCTTTAGTTTTACAATTTAACGACTAAATTCATAGTTTTCAGTTTTTTAATATAATGTTGTTGCAGCAGTGAAATCTCGTTTCTCTCCCTTAAGATTTTCGCTTGTGCTCTTTCACTTCCAAAATTGTTGAGGCTGAAAAAAATCTGTTAACTTTCCCGTACAACAACAATTAAATGTATATTGAATTTATTTTATTTAAAAAAATATATATTTTTTAATTTTCCTTTGCAAAGACATTATGAACACGTCAGTTTCTCGGTTACCTTCACATCTATTCCTTTTTATTCCTTGGGTTCCCTCATTCTCCACTCATTCTTATGTTGCCAACAGTCAGGTGTTTTTGATGACAAAACAGCTGACTTGTTCAAAACAAAACGACGGACACTATAAGATTTTTCTGAAGTGTTGCCAATTGGAAGCTACTAAAGAGTTGCCATATAGTAGGAAATATGGAAAATATAGAACAAAAGAAAACAGCCAATAAAGCTTGTGAATCAAAACAGAACAAGACAGATTTTTTGCTATCATCATCATTTCGTCGTTTCTTTATAAAGAAAAATATTAAAATTTTAACGAAAAATCGAAAAATTCAACAAATATTTAAGTGAAATCTATTGAAAATCAATGTGAACGTGTCTGTGTGTGATTTGTAAACAAAAATGTCTTGGTTAAATAATCTAAACCTGAATACAATTAAAGGTCAATTGACCAACTTGGCAAATGAAATTTTGGAAGAAACTGCTGGTCCTGGTGACGATGAGTATCGGGGTGATCGTCCAACAACTCCAATTGACAACAAAACGGCCATAGCCATGTTGGCCGATACCCAAAGGGAAAAAGAGGAACTGGATAAATTATGTTCCGACAAAGAAATGGAGGTGAGTGTGAAACAATGTTTCTGTTTTGTGTGTGCACAACATCAGCAGCAGCAGCATCATAAAAAAGAAAAGGAGGGCAGTGGTGCAAATGAAGCTGGAAAAGGGTGCGTGTGTATGATGTTTGTGTGGTGCGCGCCGCAACGCAAGTTGCAAAATACAGTGTAGATAGAAAATTCGATTTTTCACTTTCCTCTCAGAGTAGTGTCAAGACTAAAAATTACTTCAATGCAGTCCAACGTCAAGAAGGCATAGCCAATTTGAGCAATAAAGGCAGGTTTTGCAAAAGGAGTTTCGAAATGCATTGCGGTTTATAAATTTGTGGTTTTATTTTCGAAGTAGTGTGCCAAATGAGAGAAGTTTTCATAAAGATAAGTGAGAAATTGTTTGTGAAAAATGTTTGTTGTCATATTATGATATCGCACATATCGTAAAGGAATTCCGAAGGATATCAAAGGGTCCTAAATGTATTACCAACAACAAACAGCGAAAAAGGCGGAAACTACATTAGGTAATAACTTGAAGCAGGAGTTTTCTTCAATATTGAATTTGTTTAGTTTGTTATATTTATTTGATCAATCTATAGATTTGATATTTAGATGAAAAGGACATGTATTATGTAATGAGTGAATATATTTGATATGACGATATATCCTGAGCTGTGATTTTTCATTAAGGGTTTGTAGTACACAGAATCCCTTTCTGTCAAAAAAGTTCAACATAGGTTCATTATTATATTCGAATTTCTATCTTCTTGGCTGTAAGTCTCTGTGAATAAAATTTCGTTCTACGAAAAACTTTCCATATCGGACCAGGTTTTGGCAAAAGCTCCATATCATCAACCAAATTTATACGCTTTGGAACCCATCAAAAATTGAATGGAAATGATTTTTAACTGGTTAATTTTCTTGAGTTCTAATGAAATCATGAAACACCCGATGTTTTTGTCAATATTGGATCCAATTTCTTGATTTCGATGTATAAACATATTGGAATTGAAAAAATATATAGAGGGTGAGATAAAATTTTATTGTATGAAAACAAAAATATCGGAAATAGTCAATGAAATCGTCACACGCTGCCCAAATGTTGCTCTGCGGTATTTTGATCGACACTTCGATATTTTTTAGTGCCAACATTGCTTTCCAAAATACTCCAGATGCAATAGTCCAACGGATTGGTATCCAGAGATTTTGGTGGCGCTGGAAATGAAGCGAGGCCTGCTGAGTCCTGGTGGAATGTCCAAGGTCTGCGGCAAAATGTTTTTGTGGCCAATACACCCTTCAGAATATTTTCGCGATAATATTCGGCATTTTTTCTGATGCCACGGTCGATTAATACGAGCGGAGAGCGACCATCGGCTGTTATGGCGGCCCACACCATCACCATGGCTGGCGCTTGAGTTCAGGTGGCCAACATTTTCAGCAGACCTCTTTGGCAAGTAAACACGATATTTTTTTTATACCCTCCACCTTGGAAAGGTATATATATTCATAATCAGCATAAAACTCTAAGTCGATTTAACGATGTCCGTCTGTCTGTCTGTTGAAATCACGATACAGCCCACATTATTTGACGTAGAGCGCCAAAATTTAGCAGAGCTATTTGCATTGTGTCTAGGATGGTTGGTATTGAAACTGAGATATATCGGTCCACGTTCTGGTATAGTCCCCATATAACGGTACCCCCCGATATTCGGTATTTTGATGATTTATGCCACATTTTTTCACGGATTTGTCTAAAAATTGGTATTTGTGGGTCATAATGGGTCCTAGTTCGTGTAGCGAAACATTGTAATTATAGGTCCACGTTTTGGTGTAGCCCCCATATAACGGTACCTCCCGATATTCGGCATTTTAATGGTTTTTGCCACATCTCTTCTAATGTTTCTTTTAACCTAAGGTGGAGGGTATTTAAAGTTTGGCCTTGCCGAACTTAATGTTTTTTTACTTGTTTTGTTTACAAACTGCTGGACAACGAATGTTTTCTCATCGTAGAAAAAATCGGTTTTTTCACTTGTGGTTTTCCAGCCAGATATGAAGAAATCACGCTTGAATTCCATTACAAATAACTTTTTTTCCTGGAAAATTGTCACCAAATTGCTTTTGTACGCTTGTAAGCAATAATAATTTTATCAGCTGTCGCACAAGTGGCTTAAAAATGACAGCAGTCTGAAGTTGGTTGCAGTTTTTTCATCGCAACCTGTACGTTTTTATTCGTCCATTTGAGATTCTAAGTAATTTGAATCGTGCCTTATCGAAATAACGGTTTTAGACCCTAGGCCTCTTTGAACCAAATCCGATTCAGGATATTTGAAGTCGATCTAGCGTCTGGTTGGTGCACATGATAACTCTTCAAGGGAGTACCCGATTTGATCCAAACTTGGTACATCGTAATATTATCATCAAATTTAGAGCGAGTTCGGAGATGGGCAACATCGGTCCACTCCTTCTGGTACCTTCCCCACAAAGGGTCAACATTTTGATTATTCCATTCAAACTTGGCACATCTTAATATTTCTATCAACACAAGATCTGTTATAAAGATAGTAGAGATTGGACCATTCGTTCTGGTACCTTCCCCATAAAGGGTCAACGTATTGAATAACCAAAACGATCATAAAATCCAAAGTAAGCATCCCGTTCTCTTCATATTTCACACATCCCATTATTTCAACTAGCACAAGATCTGCTGCGAAAATGGGATATATCGGTATATATCTACTCTTTCTAGTACCTCCCCCACAAAGGTTCAACATTTTGAATATCGGTGAAGCTCATAAAACGCGAAATTAATATGCGAGTTGGTACATTTCAATATTTCCATCAAGGCAAGATTTGATATAAAGATTTGTGCCTAATGCTAACAATTTTGATTAAAATAAGCTTTTGTAGAGATCTAATAATCCCCATTTCGGAAAGGCAAAGAAATTGATCAAAGAAAATATGTTCTAAGATTTTATATTTAAAAAGATGACTGTTTGTAGTAATGCAAATTAGCAATATCTTGGAACTGAGCTTAAGGAGCATAACGCAGTTACATCCGATGACGAAGATATCCCAGGATATATGTAGTTTCGGCATCGTTCATCATACTATGATACAGGTTTTATCTTCTATGTAGGGTACGTTTGCAGAAAATCTCACGTGAATTTCTAGCCTGGACTTCATTGTTGTATTTAACCAAAACGCAACTCCTACCCCAAATGATACCAAGGCTAAGGAGATCATTCAAGTTACTTACATCGTGCGAGACATCGAAACTTCAGTTGTTTAAGACAAACTTCCAAGTAACTTCTCGAGAGAACCCTCAACTAGCTATATGGAAACTCTCGATTTGGAAATACTCTATTTGTATCGCATATTGCTGCCCAACCCAAAACCCAAGCATTAGAAAATAGTTACGATGGAGGATCAGTGTGCCAGTTGACGACGGTTAAATTACTCCCCAAAAGAGGAAATAAATGAGTGATGAGTTCCTAGGATGGAATATGAAAATATTGGCTACTAAGTAAACGGCCACACTTTTTACTTCATGGTCTGAGGATAGAGAACATAGCTCTATGCGTAGCTGGAAAGACATTTAATTCGGACCACGAATTAGCCCAGAATCCTAGGAATTAGGTCCTCATGGCGCCAGCCGGTAGCACTTGGAACGCGGACATTGCTGACATCTTAGGGAATACGAGTGCTATGCAGTGGATTAATATCCATACCTACCGGAACGCTGCCTGAGGACTGCAACAGAGTGCCTTCTCATGATACCAGTGGGACATCTACATGAGGAGGCAAAAGTCTTTCCTGTATTTCAACAATACCTGCTTTGGTGTTACCGTGTAAGTCATTCAAAGTACGTTATATGGTGAAAAGAACTCCCACACCCGAGCGACGATATAAGAGAGAACCTCCAGATCAAAAAGCCTATCAGGCAGAATGAATAGCATTCATACAGATGCAGTTACCGATGTAGTCAAACACTACATTAGGAAAACGTCGACCGTCTAGACAAAGGTAGGGTATTTTTGGTTTAACTACCTCCAATTCTTGAGGACAAATTATACTCATCTGGCTATAAGGAAACAATCCCGCGAGATTTGGGAATACTGTCTCTACATCGTTTTCCAACCAAAATTCAAGCATTTCAAAATAAATAAATGAGACCCCACTACATCTAAAGAATTCAAGTCTAAGAAGGCGAAAAATAACGACACTAAGGCGACATATATTTTACAACCTCCAAAGGCCGTTAGGATTGCGAACAACCCCAGTACTACTACACAGAAGACTGTCACCTGGCAAACCTATTGGAAAAAATTGGTTAGAACGTCTGAATTATTACAGCATCAGTATCGGATTGTTTAAATTGTTGGCAACGGCTAATTCGCTCTGGAATTCTAAGAAAACGGACAGTCGAACATTTGTCTCATTTAACGCTAGTGTATAGATCACCTCGAAAGTAACACGAATACATGAATGATTCTACACCATGTACGATTTCTTCCAGCCCATGTGGTAATACCACAATTTTCGATGAAAGATGGTGCACGTGTCATCAGAAAGGCTACGTCATCCGAAGGTCTTGATGGAATCCCCATGGTGATGTTGAAACAAAAGTTAAGAATCAAACCAGGCCCTCAACTTGTTACATCAGGTACTCCAAAGTCAAAGGGCCACCTTCGAAAGACTTTTTAAGTCTTCCGTAAAGATAAGAAAGAACCAGGCTCTCAAGTATTTACTACGGGAGCTGATAGGGAAATCGTTTTGCCTTGTTGGTACACGATAGGCCGTTCTGTAGTAAACTGTGCCGCTCCAGTGTTTTCTGTCAACGTTAGTGTTATGCAATGCAAAAATATTCAGTCCTGCCAGGGCGCCCACCTTCGGATCGCAAACCGGGTGTGAAAGCCTTAATTAATTGGATGTTATAAACTCAGCCATCCCAATCACCATCTGATTCGTCTAAATGAGGAGGCGAAGGTCTTACCGGAGCGACAGCATGATATCATGCTGTCAATGCAATACTTGCTTGGCATTTCAAAATAAATAAATGAGACCCCACTACATCTAAAGAATTCAAGTCTAAGAAGGCGAAAAATAACGACACTAAGGCGACATATATTTTACAACCTCCAAAGGCCGTTAGGATTGCGAACAACCCCAGTACTACTACACAGAAGACTGTCACCTGGCAAACCTATTGGAAAAAATTGGTTAGAACGTCTGAATTATTACAGCATCAGTATCGGATTGTTTAAATTGTTGGCAACGGCTAATTCGCTCTGGAATTCTAAGAAAACGGACAGTCGAACATTTGTCTCATTTAACGCTAGTGTATAGATCACCTCGAAAGTAACACGAATACATGAATGATTCTACACCATGTACGATTTCTTCCAGCCCATGTGGTAATACCACAATTTTCGATGAAAGATGGTGCACGTGTCATCAGAAAGGCTACGTCATCCGAAGGTCTTGATGGAATCCCCATGGTGATGTTGAAACAAAAGTTAAGAATCAAACCAGGCCCTCAACTTGTTACATCAGGTACTCCAAAGTCAAAGGGCCACCTTCGAAAGACTTTTTAAGTCTTCCGTAAAGATAAGAAAGAACCAGGCTCTCAAGTATTTACTACGGGAGCTGATAGGGAAATCGTTTTGCCTTGTTGGTACACGATAGGCCGTTCTGTAGTAAACTGTGCCGCTCCAGTGTTTTCTGTCAACGTTAGTGTTATGCAATGCAAAAATATTCAGTCCTGCCAGGGCGCCCACCTTCGGATCGCAAACCGGGTGTGAAAGCCTTAATTAATTGGATGTTATAAACTCAGCCATCCCAATCACCATCTGATTCGTCTAAATGAGGAGGCGAAGGTCTTACCGGAGCGACAGCATGATATCATGCTGTCAATGCAATACTTGCTTGGGTGGGTTACAGAGAGAACTATCCGAATTACCATCTGGTGGATGGGCAACACCCGCCAGACACGTAAGGAAAGACCTTCCTGATCTAGAAATAGAAAGATCAAAAGGCCTATTAAGCGGGACTGAAAAGTATTCACTCTAACGCGGTCTCAGAAATCACTGAAGGATATAGAGTGAATACTGTACTAGGAGACCCCCCTCCCATCGCAGCTGAAGAGCGGTAGTTGCCCCGACAAACCCGAGTAGTTTTGGCTCAAATAAGATCCGGATGGTGCAGCCGCCTCAATTCCTATTGGGACCGGATCAACAGCGAAGTGCAGAACATCTGCCCAGCTTGTGGCCAGGTCCACATGACACGCTGCACCTATTTCGCTGTCCAGCCAAACCTACACACCTAACTCCAGTCTCGTTTGCATTCTTTTTGGAACTAGACTTAGAGGCAGAACCCGATTGAGAGGAGTCAGAACGAACACAGCAGTATGAGCTGCTACAACAACAACCATCTGTTTTTATTAAATGCTATAAAACGTCCTTTGGGTCCATAGATAGAGGTTTAAAACATCAAATGATATTCCTTAAAATGCTTAGACTTTTAATGGTTAGAAATTGTGTCAAATAAACACCAAAATGTATAAATATAACTCACTTTTGTTGTCATACAGAACATGTCCGCTCTTGCCACCTATATTGGCCTCCTTGCATTTTATGCAAAATTATATTCACTCATACTCTTTTCTTTTCTATTTCTTTTGATTTTTAGATTTTAGCACTACGTAAACAAATTGAAACTCTATTACAAAATCAAATTAGCGATGCTGGGGGTGGTGGTAGATCAAGTGGCAGTGTTGGTGGTAGTGGCGCTACGGGAGGCAGTGGACGTACCTCAAAATCGGTAAGTGAAAATTGTATGTTCTTTGTCTTGATGTTATTTAAATCTGTTTCAGTTTTTCGACGACGATGATGATGACGTTGTCGGCGTCATATCATCGACAACTCTGAATGAAGGCAAAGATACTGTGATAAACTTCTATTATTTGCATACATCCCAGGAATATATCATACATATTTATGTATATATTTCCGGATAGTTTTTTCTTTTTTCTCCTTACTCATACACAATACACACATGTATATCGCCTCAATATACAAACATATGTATGTACGTACATATTTGTGTGTACATAATAATGTTATCACAGAAGGTATGTGTATGGTCTGTATTACCTAGAATTGTGAACGACAACATCCACAGTTTTTTTTGATCTAAATATTTACATATTGATAAAGAATGGAAAAAAAAATATAACAAAAAAACGCCTGATAAAATCAAGAGTAATATACCGTCAATGTTTCATGCCATTAGCTCGCGCAATGCCCACCTCATCCACTTTTGTACACCTTGTACTGTTTGCCTTTGGGGTTTTTTTTTTGTACAACTACGTTGAGATTATCTTTTCTCTTATCAAAGTAAAGTTGGAATTTTTATGTGAAAGTCGTAAGGTATAGTTTTGATATAATGATTAGGAGATTTCTGGGGATCTCCAATACATACTTTTATATCCAAGTAGTAGATTTATTTTTAACAGGCTATTATGAATTCAAAAAATATATTCCACATAAATGTTGGTCCAATACGTATATGTGAAGTGTCCATAAATAATTGCTTAATATTATCGAAATTTTGGGGGCACACGAATTCGACAATACGCTCTAATGCCACCGGATTCACCATCTCTTTTGACGAATAAGTCTGTAAAGCAGTCTGACATTGGAAATTAATGTCAAATTATAAAGAAAAACGACGTCAGGATTCTACAATATGTCATGCAATGATGCCAAGCTGCTTATGTATCTCCACCTTTAGTCTTCTTGTTTGTGGTTTAAGGCTGACAAGGAAAGTCTTCCTAAGTGGAAACCATCCATTAGTCTGTTATGCTGAAAGCTATTCTATTTTCATCTACTTCGTTCGATACAATGACCTTTCTCACAAGGACTTCTTTTATCTAATCCTGCCATCAGAATCAGACTTTTCGATGATTAGGATTAGATCATAATCGGGGACTGTAAATATCGTTTATCGTCCTTTCCCGTTAGTCATAAGGGAAGCAATATTTCCGTGGATTCTGCTGCCCTTATTGACCGCAACCGCTCATTGATGAAAGAGGGATTAACCCTTTGATTGACCGAATCCTTTCCAAAGGTTTTCTGTATGAGTTGTCGAATTGCCTCAACCATTCATATTCGTAGGGCTCCCTGAAAAAGCTTCGCTCAGGAATTTTGGCATTCCAGAGACAAAGCTGCGATATGTCTGCGAATTCGTAGCTACCGAACTTCTCTTATAATTCTTTACCTTGACATGCGCAGCAACTAAAGTCCACATAATTCCTTCTTGTAGTGTGGGAAACGGTGAAGGCTTTGATAATTTATTTTACTTTTGTTTTTGCAGGATTTACTACAAATACATTATTAGATAGCTGTAGTTGTGTGGCCGGCTTCGAGGCCGAAGGTTTGTGCATTCAAGGGTTTTGAGTTTCCAATTATCGTTGGATTTTGATCAACTGTTTCAGCCTGTATTGTCCACACACAACCACGTTTATCAGGGCAATTGAAGATATGCTGTGTATTTTGGGACTGTATTACACGCTGGGCAGATGTTTCGCACATCTTCATCAATTCGTGCCCAATACAAATTGAGACGGCTACAATATCCTTGACGCAATTGCGTCAAAATTACCCCGGTAAAGTTGGACCTCCCCCTCTAGATCGTGAAGGTCATTTCCAACATGCCTATGTGGGGGGAGGGGGGTGGTTATCCGCCATGATGACTCCTACGACATCACACAAGAAATTACTGCAACAAGTCTATGATTACTATTGGGCTATGCTGAATTAATTTCAGAATTAAATTCCAGTCGACCTGCACATTCAGCTGTTTTCTCATCTTCGCAGACCATGGGGTAAAGAGTGTGTCCACAGACGTAATGTCTGATATTTTGATATTTCTCACTTGCAAGATGGCTGCCGCTCCGCGAGGTATGAGTCCAGCTTAACACATATGACATCTACGATAATATCACTCGACATGACTATTCGGGTGCTTGCATAAGTTACGATCTTTATACTGTCTGGAGGGCGAGTGACTCCGGAAAGGTAGAGGGAAACCATACCATTAGGCACATTAACATTTACCAGATTCGATCATGTACGAAGGTTTTAGAACGAGAGTATATCATTTTTAAAATTGTCACACGTACTACAGCCTTGAACTATCTCCTTCCGTCTCCGATACCCAGGCTGTAGCTTATCTTATTTTCTCTCTCTCGAGCCTTACTACTCGTTGATGCCTTCCACCGAAATTCACACACTTGAATGTGCCGGGTGCAGTTCAATCAGGATCGGTACATATATTTAGAATTTCGCCACGCATTACAGCCTTAAACGTCTCCGATACCCAGTCTGTAATCTTTCTTATTTTTTCTCTTCCAAGTCTTTCTTTGATGAGGAGAGATTCATTTCTCTCTCCCTCTCCAGGGCATAATTTTTCGAATGGGTTGTTCTATCGGCCTCCGTCGACATTTCAATACTAAGAGGAACTAAAACATGATTTGTCCGAGTAGAATGAACTCGGCTGTGATGGAATTGCTGTTTGTGTGGGGATGTATTTTGGAGGGTATATGAAGGTTGTCATTTCGTTTTTAACTCATTGAAATACTGACGTTGGACCCTAAAAAGTATTTTTTTTTGATCAGCATAAAATGGTACGTTGAATTAGTATGTCCGTCTGTCTGTCGTTATCATGCTATCTTTCGAACGCATTGTGTATTTTGTAAGCACTTTGGTCAAATCCGTAATTAGTCCATATCGGTCCACGTTTTCGTATAAACTCCCCCTCATAACGTATAGACCCTCCACCCCTCCTGATATTTGGTATTTTGAAAATTTAAGCCGGGAGATCTTTTGAACATTCTCAATGAAGCCAAGTGAAAAAATGTTCATAATTTTTTTTTCGAAATTTTTATTTTATTAAAAGCTTAATTTTTACAGGTGTTTTGCGGTCCCACAATGTTGTGTTTATTGCCCTCCCAAAAAAGAGTCAGTCAGTCAGCATTGTTTGAAAAAAAGCAGCTTATTATTCTCCTCTCCATGGATTTCTGGTGGTTATTGTTATTTTATCTTCAGACAATGTACATACAATATAAATATGTATATTATTTACTTTTCCCCTTCTTATTTACACTCATTTTCAAACACCATATACATTTTTCGTATGTGTGTGTGCGTGCGTTTATATAAAAAATGACTTATCATTTAATGTTTTATCATTATTGGTTTCTGTACTCGCACCAACCAATCTATTTGGTTTTTATTATTGCACAAAAATTTAGTGTTCCATCCTTTTGTCGTCATTAGTACGGCAGAATATAAACCCACTCCAGTTTTTTGTTTTTTTTTTTTTTATCTTCCAAACTATAAACCGGGGGGGAGCAGAAAATTTGCGTCCCATGTTTATTGTTGTTTGAATAATTTGATTTTAGCTCTTATTTATTGTAAAGACCATACGACCGATAGAATATTAAACTGTGATTTTTTAGTTACATGACTGTACCTTTTTGTGCCTGTCTGTATCGGTTGATAATAGTGGGGATAATTTCTAATTAGAATTGATTACGCTTCGATATTTGAGATAAGAATCAAATAAATGTCCGTTGACAAATCAGGTTAGCGACTAATTATTAATTGTTATATCCTTAGCCATATGGTTACAAGGGATATGCAACATTTAAAAAATGAGTCTTATGAAATGCCATTTCTCTTTAGACGAAATCCCTTTTAGGATATTTGGACTTTAAGATCTGCCAACGTACGCCCGTCCGTCTGATCCGATAACGCTTATATCAAACTGTTACTTCTTTATGAATGTGATGGTTCTGGTTGAGCTTCACTTCAAAATCGACAATTTTTCGTATTTTTGTACCGAATGAGCCAAAAATGAGTTTCTGGCAAAATGGAAGGAGAGCACGATGAACTTTATGTTCTTTTGATAATAAAATTCAAAGATATACGTGGTTCCTACAAAACTGTTTGACAGTGAAGCAAAACACGAAACTTGTGTATTTTCATTGATCTTGCTTGGGAGACCTTCGAGGTTAAATCGGAACTTTAACAGCTTTGTACGGCATCAACTGCTTCATAAATTGCTGTTGGGGACATTACGGGGAGTCTCGTACTGCGACGGCGATGAAGATAATGTCATGACAATGTAGTCCATATCGATATACTCCTGTATCCGATTTAAGCCGGAATAATTCGGAAATATACCCACTCCATGCATCCGTTGCATCTCACCGAGACCGGTGGATGCGATTATGGCAGACGGAACAGAACCATGTTCCAGTACTGTTTTCGATGCCTTCATGATTACATCAGAAAAATGGACGAACATGAACATGTAGTTTCTGGGTTGACGGCGCCTCGTCGAAGGTTTGTTTCTTCGAGACTTTCCGGTACATAGAACAGTTATAGGATTGTGTGTGTCTGTTTGCCGCTTCGATCCAGGAGACGAAGCTGAGTAACACGTGCAGCCCTCAGAGGTGGAGGGGTAGCGTTTCTATTGCATCACACTGTCCAGTACAGACCTATCTCTCCTGAGCTTGTCTCTACAGGGTGAGATAAAAAAACTGTAACAAAATCAAAATCCATAATTTCTACATTTTTTAAATTTTATTGAATGAAAGCAAAAAATGTCGGATATAGCATCAAATTTTAGAATAAGTTTTGATTTGTTCGAATTGGCCACCTTTGGCACGAATTATGGCCTTCAAATGGGCAATGACACTTTGGTATTTTTAGTGCCAACCTTGCTTTCCAAAATACTCCAGACACAATAGTCCA